ATATTGTATGAATTTTTTCCTACAATATCAGATAATATGGCATGCTGTGTGCACTTAATTGTGCTCACAAACCATTCAACTTGCCTCTATTTGTGAGGTGAGTGCAATTATTATATACTTATATACCATGTCTATAGATATATTTGTTTTACTTAAGATAATTTATCATTTATAATTTTCTTTAGAATTAGTAAAGTAAAACACTCCAGAATCTGGCAGATAGCTGTAGACTATATAACAGTCATCTGAAACGTTGTAATACAGTTTTATGCCTGGATTTCATAAATAGTCTTGCATTTACTATCACAGACTTTATTAGAAGTATTTTTAAGTAGTTTGTGTTTTTCCTCCTGTAAAGAAAATGCTAGCAGGCTTTTTTAGTTCTGAGTCGTTAAGATTAAAGAATTATTTATTTAATGTCTCTCGCTCTCATGGCTGTGCGCATAAAATTAGCGACTGCTTAAGGCTAATTTATACTTCTGCATCAAGCGCACGTGTATGCTACGGCCGTTGGCGTTGCTTACGCGCACCTCTCAAAAAATGTAGCTACACGTTGCTATGACACGTAGCGCAAGCTCTGTGATTGGTCGGCTTGGTAGTGCTAACAAGTGTGGGCGGAACCGAGAGCCGCACGAGTCCATTAGAGCGATTGTTTACAAGTGTTGAGTGCTGTAAAGGAGCTTCAGATGAAAAATTGTGTTTTGTGTTTACCTTATGATTAAAGTTGTTGCACGTCCACAGGTTCCTGCCTCAAAATGAGCTAGTTTGAACCACTTGTACATTAAGGAAGCATTCAGAAAAAACAAAACACCAGCGAAGAAACTCGACACAGAGGAACATAAACACATCACTGCCAACTAGCGTTTCGGAAGTGTTATTGCAGAGCAACAGAAACCGTGCGCAGAAGTAGGAATGCACAGCTGTGCGCGTAGCATGCACCGTGGGTCATGCCGATCACTTGACGCGAAGTATAAACCAGGCTTTAGAAAAATAAAGCGAAACCAAATCCCGGACATTTTAGTAGATTTAGAAATTCCGGCTGGATGCAAAAAAGGTGCGGGTTCTCTGTGGGTTTGCGGAGCACTGTGGGAGTGTTGTCAGTTCTCGTGCACACTGAACGAGCAGTATGAAATGGGTGAAAGAGAGAAGATTTTACACTACTTAATCAGTCGTGGATGTTTGTTTATATTCAGCGAATACAAAAAAAAAGTGTAAAAGGGTGATAATAATAGTAAAAAAAGAATGTTTCACTAAATATATTTGGGTGGCCGCTAATATACATAAAGCTAATATACACATGTATATAGAGGGGTCCGCCCAAGTAAAGTCTATGTGTGTAAAAAACAGTGATATCTTTTATATTGTGCATTTTGTCAAATTGACCCACAACATAATATAATTGTTACAAAATCTTGTGTTTCAGACTGGACTTGTCCAAACTGTGTTTTAAAACTATTTCTATAGCTACTGAAAGGCATTGCTTTTATGTATAGTCAATATAATAACTAAGCTGAATATTAACTCTGTTTAGAAGGAGTACTTATTCCACCATATTTTACACATCAATAAGACAATATAAGCATAAAGGTTTCTTTTTCTGTATTACTGTATGTGACCACTTTGCCTCGTTTGAGAATCACAGCATGTTTAGTCCCTGAGTAATTTTCCTCGCGTGTCCCGCCACAGGCCTGTTGATTTATTGACAGATTGTTACATCACATCTGAGCTGCTAGCACTAATGCTGATTGTGCAAAATATATTCCTGAAAGGCGAGTTGAACAACTGTCACCATGACAATATGATGAAACGTATCAACTAATAATAGTCTGACATCCTCCTAGGAGGTGCTATAAAGGTTCTTTTCCAATTTTGATTCGTAAAGACCAGCGCAGCGGGGATATGACTTCACCTTCTCTGTTTGTATTCATTTGCTTCAGACTGCCTGCTGAAACATTAATGCCCGTCTCAGTTTCACTGTTTCTCACTGAGGCAGGGGTCCCGCTGCCCAGCTGACAGCACAGATTGCACTTTGCCCGGGAGAAAGGGAGAGATGGTGAGAGTGAAGGAGTGAAATTTTTTTCTTTGCAATTTTAAAATAATGACAACAGTTTTAGCAGAGAACCTTTAATGAGGCATTACATGCAAATGTACTGTAAATTTATGTAAAGCCATTATTAAATTGCTTGATTGCAGATAAATTTTAAATCTATTCAGCAAGACAATGCATATAGCATCATTTTATCTTACCCTGATACAGTTTTGGTTTTTGTCTGACCTGTCTTTTTTTTGGTTGTTAGGAGTACATGTATGTTGTAAGATGCAAACAGTAATTATAATAACCATAATTTTCTTCTTAATGATAAATATCTCGAAATCACATCTAAAACACACTGTTTTATTAATGCTTAAAATGCTTAAAAATTCAGTCTGTGGTGTAAGTACATAAATAATGTGTATGGCCATACACCCAAAGCGATTCACAATCATGAAGGTGGTCTCTCCTCACCAACACCAGTGTGCAGCATCCACTTGGATGATGACGGCAGCCACAGGACAACGACGTCAGTGCACTCGCCACACACTAGATATTGGTGGGATGGAGAGACCATGATACAGCCAATTTGATTAATGGGAGGCCATGAATGGTAAGGGCCAATGGAGAGAATTTGGCCAGGACACCAGGGTTACGCCCCTACTCTTTACAAGAAGTGTCATGGGATTTTTAATGACCACAGAGAGTCAGGACCTCAGTTTAACGTCTCATCTGAAAGACGGCGCTCACTGATAGTAGTGTCCCCTTCACTTTACTGGGGCATTAGGACTCACACAGACCACAGATTGAGCGCCTCCTGCAGGCCTAACTAACTCCATTTCCAACAGCAACCTAGTCTTCCCATGTGGTTTCCCATCCAGGTACTGACCAGGCTCAACCCTGCTTAGCTTCAGTAAGTAACCAGTATTTGGGCTGCAGGGTGATATGCTGTGGCTGTTGCTTGTATGAGTACAGTAAGATACTATGTTGTAAGATATGTACTGTACTTATAATAACCATAATTTTCATCTTAATCATAGATGTCTCTAAATCTCATCTAAAACACTGTTTTATTTATGATACATGATCTCTTATTACAAAATTGCATGACTTTTTTTTTTATGCGCATCTTGTCTTATTGAATAAAAATTTATCCTGCTCAGTTATGCGCATATGTTTTTTATACACATTTTCAAAAAATGTATGAGCATCTTGGCGTTTCCATCAACCATTTTTTATGCGCATATCTAAATTGCAGCTATTGTTTTATTCTGACATTTTATTTTCAAAAATGTTATTATTAGAATTTCTTATGTAGACACTGTAAGAATTCTATTATTGAAAGTTCCAAATAATAATAATAATAATAATAATAATAATAATAATAATAATAAATACTACAGCAGTATTCATGTTGATGACTTATATTATCCTAAGCTTTTCTAACAATATTCAGAAAACTAACATATGTCCGTAATTAAAAAAAATATATATATTATTTTATTTTTTTAAATTTATTTATTTGATTTTTTTTCATATCCTATTGTATATAATGTATGTTCACCAGGGAGCCATTATCAACATGTATCACTTTTGAATGCAACCTTGTTTTTGCTTGCTTTTAAGTTTACAAGCATGCATACTCTGTGACCAGAGTACTTACATGATGTGCCTTTATATATGAAAGAAATCACTGATTCATCTGTTAAAGCAGGGGTTCCCAAGCTTTTTAGCCCGGTACCACCAACATAACAATGCCAGTGACTTGCAACACATTCCTTAAAGGGCATTATAAACATATAAATGTTGCACACACAACAATAGGGCTGTATAAACACAAGCAATTTGACAACACAAAAAAGTGCAACAGTCTAACAACCATAGACTATCATTTTTTTAATAGACATTTATTAATTTGTTGAACTTAACACTGTTTTAACACTGCACTGTATTTATTTTTAATGTATTTAATTGCCATCAAGGTGTCAGAGAATTTAACCTGGTGCTATAAAATCAACTTTTGGAAATCACCAAGCGACTCCCTGTCTCACAACCCCACAAGAGTTCCCGACCCCCACTTTAAGAAACACTGTGTTAAACAATACAGTTAAAGTAATGACAGCAAAATTATTTAATCATTAAAAATGACAAAATGTATTTTAACTTTAGCACAAATCAATTAATATTATCCTATGAGGCTTTTTTGCTAATAAAAAATTAGCAAATAAAGAAGGTCACTGGTTCAAGCCTCGGCTGGGTCAACTGGCATTTCTGTGTGGAGTTTGCATATTTTCCCTGTGTTCGTGTGGGTTTTCTCTGGGTGCTCCGGTTTCCCCGAAAGTCCAAAGACATGCAGTAGTGAATTGGGTAAGCCAAATTGTCCGCAGTGTATGAGTGTGAATGGATGTTTCCCAGTGATGGGTTGCAGCTGGAAGAAGGGCATCCGCTGTGTACAGTAAAACACTTGCTGGATTAGTTGGCGGTTGATTAATAAACAACCCCAAATAATAAAGAGACTAAGCCAAAAAGAAAATGAATGAGTGTAATTAAGCAAATGATCATTTAGATGTTAAACATGCTAAATATTTGACTTTCAACTAAGTATGTTCAACCACATTAGAGCGCAGTTTATTTTATTTGTGTATTTTAATTTGTTGGAATCCTAACATCCCATTCTGTTACAGAGAGCTATTATATACTTTGCTGTAATTCCTAAAACATTGTCATTCTGTTGTTCTTACAATGCACTCGTGCCAAAAAAAGCTTTTACTGTAAATTTAACTGGCTTTTTATATACAGTGTGTGAGAGAGACTCAAAATCTCATCCTTTTGTCTCCCTCTCTCTCTCTCTCTCTCTCTCTCTCTCTCTCTCTCTCTCTCTCTCTCTCTCGTCTCTCAGAGCGGAGCCCAACTGAAGCTAGTGGGATTAGTTCTGGACCGGCTACTGTCGGCTATTGGAACACCCTCTAGAGGCTGCAGGAGGAGAATGCCAGCGCTGGAAGATCAATACAGTGAGAGAGCGAAAGAGAACAAGACAGGGGGTAGAGAGGCATAGGGAGGCTCGGGGAAGGAAAGAGAATGAAACAGGGGGTGTCGCTGCCCGAGAGAGAGAGAGAGAGAGACGGATAGAGCAAGAGACGGAGTTAGAGCGAGAGCAAGGTGCACACGTTGCTCAGCCTCCTCATTGCAGCCGCGACAGGCAGCCAGAGAGGAGCTCCAGTCGAACCCGTGGCAACAATAGACTACAGAAAACACAGCTTGACCAATCAATAGACCTCTGCCAGAAACATTGTGAGCCGGAGAGAGCTGCTCAAGGACCACGGAGGAGCAGATAAGGTGAAGGTCTGAGGCAATTACAGCGCCGCTTTCCAAAACTAGGTAAGTTGAGCAGCTTGTGCTTTCTTTCTCGTAGCGGCTGCGGGGGCTGATTGGGGTTTTGAGGCTTCAGCGTCAATCAAAATATGATCATCATGAGCTTCAGATTGAATGTCAGGTTACTGAAGTCACATCAGGGGAACTGGAGCAGGTTTCTTCTTTGATTGCATCATTTGCATGTGTTTGAATATGCATTGAGTGGATTCCGTTACAACAGTTCTTCAGTTTGCAGTTGAAAGTGGTGTCTCGGTTTATGGATGCTGCTTTTGATTCATTCACAAGCGCAAGCATGTACTGGGAAGGATATTTCCCTGATGGTTTTGATGAAGTTGGTTCTGTGTGTTGTTTTAATGCAAGTTATGATGGTAGAACTTTACTTGCAGTAAAATTTGTAATTTAAACTATACAGTTAAACTAAACAGTTAGAAATTTAGGATGGAAATGTTGGGGATAATTAATTTACAATTGTATGGAAGTATTTTTGGTATGGAAGTATGTCTACAAACTCATAGACAATGGTTTGTTTACATTTATTAATTATGTTAATATTATACTATATTTTTGTACTGTACTGGCGAAATAGTGCTCCATAGTCACTCAGAGTAACAAATATATGTTTTTGTCTAAAAATTATTCACGTAAATTTAAATTATGGACTATACTATTTTACATAAATTACATGTAATATATAGTACAGGATATAAAGTTAATTTGCGAAGACGGATAACTTATAATAATAATTTATAGTATATAAATGCCCTTACAGCTCAAACCCATCACTGGAAAACACCCATACACTCTCATTCAGACACATACACTATGGACAATTTAGCCACCCAATTCACCTGTACCACATGTCCTTTGGACTGTGGGGGAAACCGGAGCACCCGGAGGAAACCCATGCGAACACGGGAGAACATGCAAACTCCACACAGAAATGCCAACTGAACCAGCCGGGGCCCAAACCAGCGACATTCTTGCTGTGAGGCGAACATGCTACCCACTGCGCCACCGTGTCGCCCCATAATAATAATTAATAGTATATAAATATGGTAGTTTAGTATATGAGTTTGTATGTAGGGATTTATATTTACATAAATGAATATAAATAGTTTTCTAGAGCCATTCAGCTTAACATATCACTTTAAGGATCTACACTGACCTTTACTTGTTACAATATGTAAAGGAAGATAGATGTCACTATTTTAAATTTGGTCATATTTTACCAAAAATCTATAAAATGGGTAAAACCTCGTTGTTTTTATGTTTAGTATTTCAGGATTAAGATTTAATTTTGAAAATAAAATGCAAGTTTTTAATTTAATATTCTCTTTCAAACTAGACCTAACAAAGTTTTTGAATTTATTTTTGGCATGTATCGTTAAATTGAATGATAACTATATGATTAAAAACAATTGTATAATAATATTTATTTTAAAAAACCTAAAATAATAAAAAGAAAATGAACAGTTATGTACAAAAAAAGTCTAAAATTCACTTTTATTTTTTGTTAATGCTATATAATTGGGATAGATATTATTTTATGGTCATCTAAATGTGTAATACTATATTTTTTGTGTCTAATTTATGCTGTGTACATATGCTATTTAAAAATATAAATGCAAAACTGGATACACAGTGTTTGTTTACCATTTTTATTTGGGATCTGCTCAATTACTTGCAAGTTTGACATAAACTGTCACAGCTGCTTCCTTCAAATCTAAATGCAGTTTGTTGAAGAATCGATCAAAAACAGCCCGATTGCTCTGTGCCTTTTTTGCATAGATGTTGCCTGCATGTCAGTCTCGCCATACCCCAGAGTGAGCAATTATTTTGTGCAGGTGGAAAACTTTCCATCCAAATAGTTGGAGGATGCTGTTACGGGCAGATAATGATGTCACTATCCATCCTGTGGATAAACTGGCTGTTTATTTCTTCCACTACATCCTGTGCCACCTTTTTTTTTTCAGAGAAATATTCCTGCGCTCGCTGTTGTGCATCCATTCCTCCTCCCCGCAGAGCTGCACTGTGAAGGATATTGTCATATTTCTTAAGTGTTTGATTTGTCAAAGTCAGTTGAACATATTGTCCACGGGCAGAGCGTGTGGTATCGGCACGATATTAAAAATCTGGCATGGGGGATACTTTCTGCAGATTTATAACTGGAGTATAAATCTTAACACCTCAGCTACGAGACCTTTTCTTCACCGCACTGCCATGCGAAGGAACGATAGCGAACGCCTCCCCGCACAGTGTAAGATGAGAGCCCAGGGGTACATGGTAATCTCTCCGTAGGTAGATCACACCTCTCCGCTGCTCATTTCTTCCTTCCTCCTGCTCCTCTTTCATTAGTCTTAGGCACGATTTCAAAGCTTTCCCCGAGTCTGAGAATGCAGATAACACGCACCACTCCTGCTAGTGCACAGGCCTATCTATTAAACATGCAGCCATCAGAACGCTCGCTCTCAAATTTATGGAAATGTAAATCAATGATGTTGACCAACAAATATACATTTGAAAATGTTCGGTTCATCTGAAACAGCTATTGACACATTCATTTGCCAGAACAGGGGTATAGAAAATTGTGCATAATTCGAATATCAAATATAAATTAGCATTTTCACACAATAAAAGATAAATAAAAAAGCAGGGTATCCACAGTGTCTTAAAGTCTTAAAATGTCTTAAATTTTAAAAACAAAATTTTAGGCCTTAAAAAGTCTTAAATTCATTGATATATTGTGTTGTAGGTCTTAAATAATTTTTAACAGGTCTTAATTTTCCTATATCCATGTAAAGCTACCCAATTGGGCTAACATCCATCCAATCACTAACCTTCTATCTCTATAAGTTTTATCAAAATTTTATTTATTAACTCAATTTACCAATGGTTTAATTATCTTCCTTACAATAACATTTGTTTTTAATGGTTCTTTAATATTTTAATTGGATCAACAAACATCTAAAATGACTAAGTACAAGCGTGAAAGCGAAAGATTGAAGCAGTGTACTGATTCTGTGACACGTTACCTGATATATTCAAAAGATCGAAGAGTGGTTAGATAGAGACGAGATAAATTAAATATCATTTAACAACTATAGTGAGACGCGATCCATCTTTGATAAACTGTCCGACGTTGAGTTTTGTGCTCAAAACACCCGCTGACTGCTGGAGCTCAGACGCATGCATACGCTGCAGCGTTGAAGGCAGGGGTCGAGCCTACCTCCCTGGACAGGGCCAGCTTGGTGGTGGTGGGGAGGATGTGGGTGAACATCTGCGTCAGTATCTGCAATCAAATATCTAAATATTCTTAGATCAAGTAAAAAAAAAAAAAAAATTTTTGTTTTCAATTTTTTAAAAAAATAATGCAAAATTCTGAGATTTTTTTTTTAAACAAGCAAAATTATCTACTAGTGGGCAGGGTAAGTAAAATAGTCTTGTTTCGCTTTGAAATGTAGATATTTGGACTACAAAATTGTCAAAAAGTAAGAAAAACATTTTTGTTCTTGTTGCATATTTTGTAGCTCTTGTTCAGCTGTAATCCAGACTCAATCTTGCATACATTGCAATATCTATATTGTGCAGGCCCGCAAAAATCATAAAAGTGCAACACAGTAAAGGATGGCAAAATTTATGATGATGCAAGATTTCTGATTAAAGGTAATGCAACACTATTATAATGACAAATCATGGATTTTTGTTTTTATTATTAGTCTGAAGTCATATACATGCATGTAGTTTTGCTGTAAAATGCTATTTAAAATAGCGTTTACTATATAAATTATACTGAATATAGCCAGCTGTACAGTAAAATATTAATAAATAGTAGAAATAGGTTTGTTTATATGCGAGCTATGTAAATCTATTTATTTATTTATTTATTTTACAGATTGCTATATTTTTCTGACCAGTGAAGGAATCCTACATGGGGATGAATACATTTATTAACATGTTTGCTTTGTTGGCATGTAAAAGTATACTAACAATCAATATATCTTTAATATATAGTGAAATCTTGACATAAAAGGCATGTGATTTTGCTGACAAATGCTACAGTATATATAAATAAAATTATTTTAAAACTTTAATATGCATTGTGGTTAAAATCGTTATTATAATCAACCAATTTTATAGTAAAAGTAGTTTTGCGCTTTTAAAAAGAGAGTGACCTTTAAGTTATATCTAAATGCATCTGAGCCACAGCGACTTGCTTTAATTTAATGCATTTAATACAATTAGAGTTTCTGATACTTTTCTTTCTCTGTGAGATTAATTAACATGTAGCTGCACGCCTGTGGGTAACCAAATAGCTCAACTGTGTTAGTCTATGAGGAAATTAATAATTTACATAATATTTCAGTCCGGGGGCTTTGCCTGTGCTCAGTGCCCAACAGTGAGTGTGTTGCAGAAGTTCTACTCGTCTACTCTTGCTATTAGACTGCTAAATGGTAATTAAGCCAGGGCTCCAATTGCATGCACTCTGTGGAAAACGTGAATGTTTAAAAAGAACTCTGGCGTCATATATTGGACCACCCGAGGATCATTGTCCAAAATGAAAGCAGGCTGAGGCGGCTGCACTCTATGCCCTCGCTGTTCAACTGCCATTAAATGGCTTTCAAGTGACTATTCTTTTTGTCATTGACTTAAATACAGCTTAGCTGATGGATCCGTTTGCCTTAACGCTATTTTTTTCTTGCAGTTTGTGTGCGATTTTTAATGCACTCCTGCTGTTGAAATGACCATTTTGAGCATTATTGTTCTCAATTTAATTACCAACCCTCACTGAACAGCTTAAGCCAAGGACACATTAGGCAGCAGAAACTGTTGTTGCTAAAGCAAATTATACCATACAAAAAAAAAAAAAGCGTTTAACGTTCACCCCCTCAAACATGAAGCCGTGGTCTGTTCTGTCATAGGTTCAATCTGTATGATAAATGCTTCGCCGGCTCTGATCTCTTTTAGGTGTTCACCTTCTGAAAGCCAAGCTATCTTTTAAATAATAC